ACATCCAGTGCCAGTCATAAGTTTAAATGCCTTCATCGTTAGCATGAAGTTATTCATCTGGAATTTTGATTCTTTATCATTAATTTTTTTAAATTAATTTTATTGATTGTTGTGATCTCTATTAACGCAGCTAAGCTGTCACAAAGACAATATTTTAAAATACGAAATGCATGACCACAGACTACAAAATATAGTTCATGGCTTTGAAATGAAACAGCATTTAAAAATTTCAGTACTCTATGTTTTTAAATGTACCATACATTTTTTGCTCTGTATGTTAACATCCTCATAACACTTTTGATTTTTCTTTTGATAGAACAGATTTTCCTACAGTGGCATGTCTAGTGTAGTGTGATAATTATGCTAATATTTGCTAAATATAAGACCTTGTTAAAAGTTTTTTGGCGGCTTCATTGGTACTATAGTTTTTTTTAAGAAAAGACAACAACACATAAAATAATCTATCCAGTAATGGTAGCCAATTTAGCTGAGTCAGCATTTCTGTTTAGATGATGAGCAACTTCAAGAGGTGTAGTTAGAAACAATTTTTTTTCCCCCAAAAAAACGTTCATTGGATTATTTTGTTTCGCTATCATTTCATTCAGTCTTCTCCATATTTTTTCAGAGGGCTTCCGCAGGTCATAAAAAATCATTAAAAGTAATTAAATTATTATTTTTTAAATTAATGGCTTAATTGGCATTAAAATTCGTTAAATGTGTTTATTGTGGCATTTAAAATGCTTTATTTAAAAAAATGTTTATAAAAACAATTTCATCAGACATACTATATCATGATATATTTGCGTTGAACTGCTTCCAGTTGATCGCAAAGTTGTATGTTCAGAAAAGAAGCTTGAGTCGGAGAGAGACGAGGGGGGTTGGAAAACGAGGAATTCGGGACATGGCCCCAGCCTGTCGACGGGTACCTGTTGGTGGCATGAAAATAATTTCTAAGAGCATTAAAAGAGCATTAAAAAGCATTAAATTTGAGTTATTCATTCCTGTATAAACCTTGTTTCAGATTCTTTTTTCTGAGTCTTGTATAATTTTTCTTGTATAACTTGTGCTGTTACCTGATTTCTCTTTTCCATGCCTCCTTTATGCTAAGCATCTGTCCATGGACACCTTGTTTTTTTCTAATTGTATTTCTTGAGAGGCTCATGCCTTTTTACAACAGGCAGAGTAAATTTTTCAGACTTCATTGTAATAATCCTGGATCCTTCACTGATAAAATATTTGAATATTTTATTTATTTTTTTATCAAAATATTCTGTTTAAAATGACTTGTATTATCATCTAAATGCAATCGTTGGAGTTTAATTGGCTGTTATGTTTTCCTAACTATTAAAATAAGGTTATGGTAAGAAAAACCCACTAGCACTAACAGGTCTTCTGTCACATTAGTTAATATATAATCTAAGTCTATATACTGCTGTAATTGCATTAAGTTTAGCACTTTGTGAACAATAAATGTTGCTCCAGTCAATGTTTAGA